CTCTCTTTCTTCAACATTGCGCATCCACAGCAGCTTACTCTCCAAGACTACTCCCAAATAATTTCTGTGGTCTTTAATTGGCAGCTCGATGCTAAATACCTAGCCAAGTGACTCCCAGCATTCTTTTACACGCATAAAGGGCGTTACTGGCCTTCTTCTCTCTTTCTTCAACATTGCGCATCCACAGCAGCTTACTCTCCAAGACTACTCCCAAATACTTTCTGTGGTCTTTAATTGACAGCTCGATGCTAACTACCTAGCCTCGAGGGTCTATATTTTTGTGACTACACCACTGACGCATACAAATTGACAAAAAAAACTTCTTTGTGCTGGTGAAGCATAAAAAACTATAGGACGAGTAGCCTCTGCAAAATGTGATGTGGGTTTATGTTTGAAATGTTTTGCTACTTTTCATTAACTTCTTCATCCGCTTTGCACGTAGAATATGCATATATTATCAATAAATTTATTAAAACTTATACACAATGTTTCTATTATTTCATATTTTAACCAAATACTGTCCTCTAACAATCCATCTGGAATATGCCCCGTGTTGCCATATGGCAACGGCCGATATCGGAAGAACTATACTACTCCCAAAGTTTTAGTCATATTTTTTCCTTTACTTTAACGCTACTTTTACCCTGTATATAGGTGGAACCAAAAAAATCTAATTAAAATTAATCTGGGACAATTTGGGTTAAAATAAAGTATTTTATAAATTCCTTTCAAACTAATTCAATTTTCTGCAGGATCTCTATAACGGAATTCATAGAATATTCTGCCCATTAGCTGGGTGTGCGCATTTGTACAAAAGTAAGCAATTGCATGAAAATAAAGCCGCTAGAAAAACCAAGTAAAGTTTAGCAAATTGTTTTACGAATAAAAAACCATTTTGCCAATTAAATTAATTAACTGCGCATAGTTGGAAATGTTTACAAGTGACATTGCGTGATTACTTAAAATATTTGAACATACAGTTTATATGCAAACATACCCTTAAACACAGCAACACATATTTGGTGTTTTTTTGGAAAAATATCGCTATTTTCAGTGTTTTGGTGCTTTTTTCAATACAAAACTTGGCAATACTGATCCCTAGCTGACCTTCATCGAGCGCTCTTTTCTGGGTTCGGATTGAAAAATGGGAGTAAAAATCAAGTTTTCGTAGTAGATGTGCATTTCTTATCTTTATAAAAAACAATTCATTTCTCCTCATATCACTGTATTCTGGGATTAAATAAGGGGCTAAAGCTGCCTTTACAAGAGTCGATTTCTGTAGACTGGAAAATCGACTAGCCAAAGCCTTTACATTTTACGGTTGAGATGTCATTTACGCGGGTCGATTTTGGTTGAACGACAAAAATCTACTAGAAAATCGACCCGTGCAAGTGCGTCTTAATCCAGCGAGCGATTACCATAAAAGTTAAAATGCCTTGGTTAAAATTAGTAAAAAGTTATTTCATTCTTTCTTTACCGGGAAAATTGTTACATCGGTAACGACGCGATTACAGAACTTTAGACAGAGCAATCTTTTTCGATCGGGTTCAAATCGGGAGATTGTGAGGGCCTATTCACGAATTCAAGTGTATTTGCAAAGGTGCTGTAGCTCAACAATGTAATAATCGTGTCGATAAAAAGGTAAAATATAACTTTTAATTTGCTATTAAAAACCCCACCTCCTTTCTATTTGAAGAGTAAATTTTTTGATGCAACAAAACGGAGCAGATTTTCAGTTGAGCGGAGTAGAGGACTAGGTTTCAAATTATTATACAAAACGGAACAAATCTACTATAGGAGTAAAATTTACGCTCTTTGTTTGGTGCACACAGTCAGTATTGCCGCAGCCGTACTGCGATGACCATGATGTCGTTAGAGATATAAATAATTTTATATAAATAATTTGTTCGCAACTTTTCATACCCTTCCTCGCGTAAACTGTTTTTCCTTTTCTCTAGCCGTCCTCTGTTCTAGTCTATTAAGTTTTTCTTTATTTTAATGCGCTCCGGCTTGAGTAATTGTGCGATCAAATTTCGTGTTAGACGTGGTGTACTATTATTTGCTTTTTAAGTAAGGTGTAAATATTTGTGGCCTTTTTTTTGAGCAAGTTATGTCGCCATGTCGCGTCTAGATTATCGAAAGGAGCAACCGAGCACGTTGAGTGTACTTTCAAGACCAGGCATGGGCAGAGAACGTGCACATGCTCAAAGAGCGTAACCATCGCGTGTACGTATACAAGCAAGATCGTAACGATGAGAAGCGACAGCATTCAAAATTAATTGAGCACACCAACACATTCTCACTTTTAGCTACCCTCCAGTACTGCTGGAGTCAATCGCTACTTTTGAACCGCTTCCGCACCCACTCCTACGTAAGTGGCTACTCTATTAACCTGCGGTATTGCGCATGGTAATGCACATTCGATCAAGTCGGGAGCAGAATTGCGAAATACTACGAAAGCAAAGTTGTTTGCCGAAACTGTACGCAAGCGTGATCATTCAAGCGCAAAAATCAACGCAAAAACATGGAACCGTTACGAGAGTTGGACCAAAAATTTGTAGAAAAAAATTTGAGTTTTCAATTCTTTGCAAGTAGCAACTTGACGAACACATTGTAGTGCACACGGTAATGCAGAGTCGAACTGTCGGGAAAAAATTTGATTTTTCAATTCCTTGTTAGTATCTACTTGACGAACACATTGTAGTGCACATGGTAATGCAGAATCAAACTGTCGTGCGCTGGATTAAACAAAAAAAAAAAAAAATGATGAGTAGACGCGTGCCAAATTCCTCTTCTTCCATATTGCTTTTGCAGCCGATTGCCTTTTTTTTGTTTTTCTTCCATTTTTTCATTGAGTATTTGTGCATCGACCGAGCCGGACGTCTGTGTTAATTGTGCGTGTTTTAAAGGTTTTAAAGGTGAATAAAGTAATTTAACATAAATTAAAAATTATAATTATAATATTAGTATATTAGAAAAAGATCTGCAATAATTATGGTTGGTAAGAGACAGCTACGCAGGCTTATGAAATGTGCCAGGGAAAGCTTTGCGAATAAATTGAATAGTGTTGAAAGTGAAGTGAGTGCAGAAGTACAGGCGTTAACAAAAACAAGTGAAAGTGCTGACGTAGGGACGGACGTGGAGACGGACGTGGATTTACATTTAATAGGTGGAGAATGCAGTAGTTCTAATATCTATATATCTAATAGTTCTAAACCCCTAAATGATAAACTTAAAGAGTGGTACATAAAGCACAGGCCAACGCGTGAGTGTGCATTAGATTTAATTAGCATTTTGAAAGAGGAAAATTTAGATGTCCGTCCATTTTACAAATGCGACTCCGGCAAAAAACCGGTAATTTCAGAGATAAGTGGTGGTTCTTATCTTCATGTTGGTTTAACCGAGCAGTTACAGCAATGTTTACGTAAAATTCCGGTATCAGACTTCATAAGCATTGATATTAATATTGACGGGGTGCCAATATATAAAACCTCAAGAGCACAATTGTGACCAATATTAGTTAGGGTAAACAATTTTAAAAATATTCCAGTAATTCCAGTGGGGGTATTTTTAGGCAAAAGTAAGCCAAATAGCTTAGAACAATTTTTAGAAAAATTTTTCTTAGAAATAAATGATTTGGTTAATTATGGCATAAGCATTAATGACAATCAAATAAAAATTATTATTAGGGCAATAGTTTGTGATGCACCAGCCCGAGCATTTGTAAGTGGCACACCTGGACACACTTCGTGCCATGGTTGTGCAAAATGTACACAAGTAGCGAAAAAAATTTATAGCGTTTTAACGTATAGTACTACATCAGGAATTCTTATAACTAATAATGATTTTTTGAATAGAAAATATCAAAACCATCACATTAGCCAATACATTAGCAAAAAAACTGTTTTGGAGGAGCTTAATATTTCTATGATTTCACAAATACCCTTAGATTGTATGCATCTAGTAGAGTTAGGGGTGATGCGCAAATTTTTAATAAGATTAGTACAAAATAAAACTACAACGAAAATCTCCAACTGGGATCATTGCTTTAAAAAATGAAGTACATGGTGATCAGTATTATGAGTTTTTATTACTACATTGTTCCTACAGAATGCTTTGTTGTCCAAAAACACGAGAAAACAATTTGGAAATGTGCCAACAGATGTTGAATCTGTTTGTTCAAAATTTCCCAACTGTATTTGGTGCGAATAGTGTATCGTACAATGTCCACAGTTTATTTAAGGAGACAATAAATCAGGTCGGCGATCCCATTACTGGCTCCGCGTATGCCTTTGAAAACTATTTGCAAAGCCTTAAGAAATGCATTCGAAAACCAACCAAAATACTTCAGCAAATACATAGAGTTATTAATGAGGAGAAAACGATAGAACCTTCTGTTCAGAAAACATTAAAAATAACTGCTCGAAAGTGTTTTATCGAAGGAAGTTTACTAAGTGTTAATAGCCCTGATAATTATTGTTATATAAAAGGTGATATTCCAATTTTAATTGTAGGGTTTACAAAAAACTTAGGAGGTGAAATTATTGGGCAAAGATTCAAAAATATTAGAAACTTTTATGAAGAACCAGTTAACTCAATATCTTTAGGAATTTATTTGGTCGACAGTGCGGCTAGCGATGTTGAAGAAACATTCAAAGTTTGCGATTTTGAAAGCAAAGCAATAGGCATTCCTTATGAAGGAAATATTTTAATAGCACCAATGTTGCATCATTGTATTTGAAAGCGTTGTCATATTTTATAGAGTCGAGATTAATAAATAATATTTATTTTTTTGATAACTACTATTTTTCATATAATAAAATAAATAAAACAAACAAAGATCATCAAAAAAATGAATCGAAATTCAAGAAAAAAATTTAAACGTTTTGCTGTCCACAATGAAGGTATGTAATTTTATTTTTATTTTCATTTAATTTAATAATTTTATTTTATTTAAAATGAAAATTATTGACAATATAAAAAAACAAAAAAAAATTTAATATAATATCTTATTTTCTGGCCAATTTTCGTCGTAAATTTTATTAATTTTGATGAGCTTCTTTGGCCTAGTTGGTGATTAGTGCAAGTAAAAACAACGTTTTTTCTTCACTGCTTTGCCCTACGTTTCGCTAAACTCCTTAGCATCCTCAGGGGCCAATTTTCATATACGTATATTTGTTAACATATAAACACATAAACATATAAACACTAAAAACATAAACACTTAAAAGCTAGAGCATTGTACCATTATCGTTTGATACACTTGTCATACTAACATATAAACACATAAACATATAAAACATAGTGTTTATATGTTTATGTGTTTATATGTTAACAAATATACGTATATGAAAATTGGCCCCTGAGGATGCTAAGGAGTTTAGCGAAACGTAGGTCAAAGCAGTGAAGAAAAAACGTTGTTTTTACTTGCACTAATCACCAACTAGGCCAAAGAAGCTCATCAAAATTAATAAAAAAAAATTTAATATGTTCCAAATAAATAATATTTATTAATTCTAATAAATATTTATTAATGTAATCTTTAGAGAACCAGCCACAATGCAGCAACTGCGGCGAAGTCATAAAAAAACTTGAAGAAATTAACGGTAAAAAATTAAAGCTGTTTGTTACGGAAGTTTACAGTTAATAATATTTATACATATATTTCAGACACATTGCAAATGGAAAATGAAGTTATTCGTGGTAAGTAGAGCTCTTGTTAGTCGACTAGTCGACTAATCGGTTAGTCGAATAGCAAAAGTTGTTTCAAAAAATAATCGACTTCACTTAATCGAATAACCGTTTCCCTTCGACTTTTTCAACTAACCGCTCACAAACAACTAGTCGATTATCCGTTCATTTTCGATTTTTCGACTAGTCGTTTTCTTTCAGTAAACATTGTTTTTTTATATTTTTTGAATACTTATGCTTATTGACAAAACCCAACCACGCTAATAGCAATAATTTTATGGTGAAAAACTGTCACTATTCGAATAATTTCGGTTAGTCGATTTTCAGACTACTCGATAGTGAGCGGTTAGTCGAAAGTGAACGGTTAGTCGAATTCGAGCTGTTAATCGAATAATTGCTATTCGACTATCAACCGACAAAAAAGTTGCTAATCGACTAGTCGACTAACCGAATAGCCGGATAGTCGATTTTTAACAAGAGCTCTAGTGGTAAGTCATAACATTTGTTTTATTTTATTTTAGTTTAATTTTATTATTATTATTTATTATTTTTAATTTAATTTTATTTAATTTAATTTTGTTTAATTTTGTATTATTTCACTTAATTTTATCTTATTTTGTTTTATTTTACTTAATTTAAATTTAATTTATTTTAATTTAATTTAATTTAATTTAATTTAATTTAATTGAATTTAATTTTATTTTATTTTATTTTATTTTAATTTAATTTTATTTTATTTTAATTAGATTTCTTTTTATTCTATTTCACTTTATTTAGTTTTATTTTAATTTAATTTTTATTTTGTTTTATTTCTTTTCCCTTGTTTTTATGTTATCTAAGGACAACTGAAGATAGTAATGGAAACCTTGGCGGACCAATCTGTTTATTTAAAGCGGCTCCTGCGGGAAAAGGAGGAAAAGTTATCGTTACAATCAAATTTTCCAATAAAATTAGAAGATGATTTACAACGGATAAATCAGGAAGTATCTAAAAACATGAATCAATATGTGAGTATAGATATAAAAGTAAATTTTCCAGTTAGTGTAAACTTTTCTTTTTTTTAATTGTAGGTCTTTGTAATGAAGATGTTGCTGAAATCGGGTATCCAAAAAAGTTTAAAAAACATTATTGCAGACGAGCTTGTACTGGAATACAATGTTGACGGGGTGCAGGGGAAAAAGTCACTGAAAAATCATGCTAATTTTTATAATGCTTTGTTAGGTATGCACTTTATAACTTTGGAAAATATTATATACATTTACATAATAAATGTTTTATAGCCTCAATTCCAATAAGCGAAGGTCCCCCCGAAGAGCAATTACGAAAGAGTCTAAGTCTGCAAAAGAAGAGAATTTTCAAAAATGTGTGCATTCAAAAATCAAAAATGAGTTCAAACATATAGATATATATTTATGCATATTGATTGAATATACATATGTAGATATATGTAAGAAGGTATGTGCATGTACAATAAGTTCAAGTAGTTTGGAGTATTATTTTCAAAAAATGAAATATATGTATTTTTTTATATTTAATTTTGTAATGTAAGCAAATATACATACTGTGTATTAATTATTAAAATATACATACACTTGTTGTCACCTTATTAAGTTAAGTGACATTTTGACGAGGTTTGGTTATTTCCCTTTTGTCTATTTAGTGCTTATAATTTTTTTATTAAATCTGGCACATTACATATATAATTTATTATTTATATTGGAAATTTTTGCAGAGTAAGTTCTTTGGTACCTAATGATAGTGCAGTTAGTAAGTGCTACTTGCTTCAATAACTACCGGTAGTGCAGAGATACCGATAGTTCAGAGAGTAAGTACTTACTTCGGTAACTACCGGTAGTGCAGATAGTAAGTACCTACTTCTGCAACTTCCGGTAGTAAAGAGAGTAAGCACTTACTTTGGTACTTAAGTACTTACTTCTGCAACTTCCGGTAGTAAAGAGAGTAAGCACTTACTTTGGTACTTAAGTACTTACTTCTGCAACTTCCGGTAGTAAAGAGAGTAAGCACTTACTTTGGTAACTACCGATAGTCCAAAGAGTATGTACTTACTTCAGTAACTGCCGGTAGTGAAGAGAGTAAGTTATAACGCTTGTTAGCGTTATAACGCTTGTTTATGGTAGTGCCCACGTTTGTTCTAGAGCGGAGATGGGCTCCGCCTTACCGCGGGTAAAGCTCTTTTAAGCTTTCTATATATTTTGCATATGCGCAAGCAGAGTAAAAGCTCTCTTTGCCCATCGCCGTTCTAGAGTCTAGATTCTAGACCGGTCGTGGGCACTGCCTTGCTATATAAGATTTTTTATTGTAAGAAATTAGCAAAAACTTCGAAAATTTTTACATTGTCACGGTACTTTGGTAACTACCGATAGTCCAGAGAGTATGTACTTACTTCAGTAACTGCCGGTAGTGAAGAGAGTAAGTTATAACGCTTGTAGCGTTATAACGCTTGTTTATGGTAGTGCCCACGTTTGTTCTAGAGCGGAGATGGGCTCCGCCTTGCCCGCGGGTAAAATTCTTTTAAGCTTTCTATATATTTTGCATATACGCAAGCAGAGTAAAAGCTCTCTTTGCCCATCGCCGTTCTAGAGTGTAGATTCTAGACCGGTCGTGGGCACTGCCTTGCTATATAACATTTTTTAGTGTAAGAAATTAGCAAAAACTTCGAAAATTTTTACATTGTCACGGTTTTCACCATTTTTTGACAATTTCTGTTGAAAATACATAGCATATTGAAATTCCAAGTTTGTAGAAAATTTCATTCTCCACAACTCTTGTGCCAACAATTTTTTTGTACGACGCTTAAATCACGGCCAGGAACGCCAGCGATGTACAGGATGCGCCGTAAAAATAATTTTCACACCTTCACCTGCTTTCATTAAAAAACAAACATTGCCCGTGGATTAAAGCTACTGGTGAAACCACGTTAAAAAACGCGCCGAAATCCTCTACCTCAGCGGTGGTGTGAAAATGAGTTTTTACGGCGCTTTCCGTACATCGCTAAGTTTATCGCGTTCCCGGCCGTGATTTAAGCGTCGTACAAAAAAAATGTTGGCACAAAAGTTGTGGAGAATGAAATTTTCTACAAATTTTGATTTTCAATATGCTATGTATTTTCAATAGAAATTGTCAAAAAATGGCGAAAACCGTGACAATGCAAAATTTCCCAGTTTTCGCTAATTTTTTTGCAATAAGAAATGTTTTTTTGTGACCTTCTATATATTAAATGCGAGAAATTAAATTATCCACATATTTGTAATAATTTTTATGAAAAATGCAAAACAAGCTTGCAAATCGCAAAAAACTCAACAAAAAAATTAATACAAGATGGCGGAATGTTGCCAAATGAAATTTAGAGGCGAGACCGTGGATCCATGATCTACGTGTCAAATAGAAGGAAACTGCATCAAAAACTCGCTTATACTAGAATAATCGCTGTGTTTGGTGCGATCCCGGCCGTGATCTAAGCGTCCTACAAAAGAAAATTAGGTATACAAGTTGTGAAGAATGAAATTCTCCACCACTTAGGAATTACCATATGCTATGTATTGTCAACAGAAATTGTCAAAAAATGGCGAAAACCGTGGCAATGTAAAATTTTTAAGCTGTTTTTGCTATTTTGTACAATTAAAAATGCTATTTTAAAAAACCTTCTATAACCCAAATGTGGGAAATTAAATTCTCTACAATTTGAATTTAACAATTTTTTTACAAAAAAAGCAAAATAAGCCAAAAAAACAAAAAAAAATTAAATCCAAGATGGCGGAACGTTGCCAAATGAAATTTAGGGGCAAGACTGTGGATCCATGATCTACGTGTCAAATATAAGTAAACTGTATCAATAAATTTTTAAAATTTTTCTCCCAAATTTATCTAATATTACTGGGCTAAGGGAGTTTTATTCTGCATCTATTGTAACTGCTCAATATCAGCAGCAAAAAAATTTGTGTGAAGCAACACTTCAATAAAATGTTGCAATATTTTCACCTGGAGAATTGTCATATTTTTAATGCAACAAAGTCTTGCGACGTAGAGAGTTAATTTTCAATACATATAACTACTATGTATGGGTAAGGCTTCCTCAAGTGGGCCCCGAGTGTACGAAAATTAATATTTTTCAATGATATTCAGGCAGCGCCGAGTTTTGTAGTCGAAAAGTACCTTGTATAAATATTGTTGCAAAATTCCAAATAGTTTTTTTTTAATCAACAATTGAAAATTTTNATTTTTAATGCAACAAAGTCTTGCGACGTAGAGAGTTAATTTTCAATACATATAACTACTATGTATGGGTAAGGCTTCCTCAAGTGGGCCCCGAGTGTACGAAAATTAATATTTTTCAATGATATTCAGGCAGCGCCGAGTTTTGTAGTCGAAAAGTACCTTGTATAAATATTGTTGCAAAATTCCAAATAGTTTTTTTTTAATCAACAATTGAAAATTTTTGCAGTGTTTTGGAAAATTTAAATTTTTTTTGAAAGTGTCCCAATGAAAAATTTTTTTGGGTGCAGATTTATAAAACATTAAACTATACAATTAAATTAATTGTGTTACAAAAATATTTTTTTTTTTTACTTTTCAATATTTTTTTTAATGAAAAATTGAACTATTAAGCGATTTCTGCGCCTCGTGGACGAAAATTTTTAAAAACATTTTCTGTAATAAACATTCCTGCATTTATCTTTGAAAAAAAATCGTGCATTTCGATATAGTTTGGTCGGATGAATGAAGCGCGCGGGCCCGACTCTCGTGGCTGGAACGCACGCAATTCGCGTTGACTTCTTGGGCAAGAGAGAAAAGCAAGTTTCAATCGTTCCACTTTTATTTCTCATGATCGAATTTCGCGTGTCCGCGGGAGTCGGGCGCGCACGCTGGCAAATAAAAATTCATTCCGACCAAACTATATCGAAATGCACGCATTTTTTTTCATAGATAAATACTTAAATGCTAAATTCTTCATAAAAAAAAATATTGAAAAGCAAAAAAAAATATTTTTGTAACGCAAATAATTTTATTGTATAACTTAATGTTTTTTAAATCTGTATCCAAAAAAATTGTTTCATTCGGACACTTACTTTCAAAGAAAAATAAAAATTTCCAAAACACTGCAAAAATTTTCAATTGTTGATAAAAAAAATATTTGGAATTTTCCAACAAAATTTACATAGTGTATTTATCGTTGAAAAATATTAATCTTGGTAAATTCGGGGCCCACTTGAGGAAGCCTTACCCGTATGCAAGATGTATTAAAAAAGGTGTGATTGACCATGATTCAATAATAAAAGGTTTGCTCAGAAAACAGTTTTCTCGGCTCCCTTTTGTAAGGGAGTTAAAGGAGTGTCAAAACTCGAATGTCACTAGTGAGCAAACCTTTAATTATTGAATCATGGTGATTGAAAACTAAGGTCGGGTCTCTTTTAAGGTACTATTATGCCAAAAAATATAAATTAAAAATTCGTAAAAAATAATGTTTATACCTCAGCGCACTTGTGCACAAGGGTATTACAACTTTGTTCACATAACGGTTGTTTGTAACAGGCACAACGAATCGAGATAGATATAGACAAATGCATACATAAATGATCAGAATGAAAAGAGAAATCGATTAACCGGTGACTGTCTGTCCGTCCGTCTGTGCACACGATAACTCGAGTAAAAATTGAGATATCTTAACGAACGTGCACTTCTTTCGGGCGTAGGCCGGATCGTATTGAAAATGGGAAAAATCGGACAATAACCGCCTACCTACCATATAACGGGAATTTTCAGAAATACGAAAATTGCGATATTTGAGTAACTACTGAAGATTATGCACTAAAAATTGATATTTACAATAATTTTTAGACGAGAAATGAGAATATTATAAATTTTTGGAAAATGGGCGTAGCCACGCCCACTTATGGTTACATGTGTATAGCTTGGTAACCGCCGCACCAATTTCTTCCAAACTTAGCATAGTTGTTGGCCTTGGTACAGCATACCAAATGGCCAAAAAACCCACGCCCACATCCCATATAACGGTAATTTAGAGAAATATGAAATCTTCGATAAATCAGTAAATATTGAAGCTAATTTATTCAAAATTGATGNCGATAAATCAGTAAATATTAAAGCTAATTTATTCAAAATTGATGCTGCAACAATTATTTACTAAGAAATACGCTTATGATAAAATTTTGGAAAATGGGCGTGGCACCGCCCACTTATGATCACATATATATATCTCGGTAACCGTTACCAATTTGTATCAATCTCGGTATGGTTATTGTGCTTGCCACACAAAAGAAAACCTTGAAAATTATTGAAATCGGACTAAAATTACGGTCGCTTTTCATATAACGGTAAATTTCAGAACGGCTTGAAACTTCAATATTTCGAAATGTAAGGACGCTAATTTACTCAAAATTGATACACTCCGGCTTACCATGTAGCGGTAGCTTTCGGGAAGGTGAAAAACACATATTTAATACGTG